TAGCTCCCTGGCTGGGGTGCAAACTCAGGCCATAGTGGTGATAGCTCTGAGACTTAACCCTTAGGCTACCAGAGAGGCCCATATGTTCTGCTTTAGTAGAAAATGTCAAACAATTCTAAAGTGGCCAAATCATGGGGCCTCCCTGGTGGTGCAAGGGGTTGAGATTCAACCTATCAGGCTATCTGCAACCACTGCAGCACAAGTTCAATCCCCGGCCAGGGAGAAACCCACATGGCGCAGCAGGCCTCTCCTGACTTGCTGGCTGCTCCCCTTAGCAGTGTATTTCACTCAGTCTGCCTGTTCCGGTCCCCACTCTGTCTCTGGTGAATCTACTCACCCCCCACACCTCTGGCCTGTACCCCAGTTCTTTTATGAATAAATAAATAAATCTTTAAAAAAAAGTAAAGTGACCAAATCAATTTACACTCTCACAAGCAATGATTGAGATTCTGGCTGCTTCACATTTTCACCAGTACTTGGTATTTTTTGACATTCTGTCATTCATTTATTTTAATCTATTATCACTTGCTCCCAATATGCCAGAATATCTTTCCTTTTATTTTTATTATTTAAAGGTTTATTTTTATTTATTTATGCATAGGAGAACTGGAGTTTAGGCCAGAGGTATGAGGGATGAGAGTTGACAAGAGACAGTGTAGGGAGCAGAACAGGAAGATCTACTGAAATACACTGCTAAGGGGAGTAGCGGGGAAGACAGGAGAGTTCTGCTGTGTCATGTGTGGAGACAGGAGAATTCTGCTGTGCCACGTGTGGGTTTCCTCCCTGCCCGGGGATTGAACTCAGGCCATAGCAGTAATAGTGCTAAGACTTAACCCCTAGGCCACCAGGGAGGCCCCTCTTTTTTTTTTTTAAAGGATTTTATTTATTTATTTATACAAGCGCTGGGTACAGTCAGAAGCACGGGAGGGTGAGAGAATTCACCAGAATCAGAGTGGAGAGCAGAGCAGGCAGACTGACGAAGTACACTGCTGAGGGGAGAAGCGGGCAGCAGGAAAGGTCTGCGCGCCATGGGGACCCTTACCTGGTGGCCAGGGGTTGAACCAGCGCTGCAGAAGCTGCGGGCAGCTTCGCAACCCAGCGCTCAACCGCTGCGCAGCAGGGGAGGCCCCAGGGAGGCCCCTCTTTCCTTTTATTTTTTTAATGACTTTTTTTATTGAAGTGTAATTGACGTATAAGATAATATTAGTTTCAGGTGTACAACATGATGCAATGTTTGCATATGTTGTGAAATGAAAATAGCTTTCCTTTTAAATCACAGGGGCCAGTGTAGTTACAGCAGTGTGCCATGGAGCACCATCCTAACTTACAAGGCTGGTGACCACTGACCCTCAGCTTCTTCCTCTGAAAAATGGGGAGGATAAAGTGCCTGTTTCATAGAGTTGCAGGAGGACAACTGAGATAATGCATATAAAGGGCATAGTACAGTACCTGCCACAGAGAAAGCATGCCAGAAACATTTGCTATGTGTAAGCCCATATTTCATAGCTGGGGAAACTTGAGATCAGGAGGGGTAAAGGATCTTACCAAGTTGACTGCCAGGCCTGATGTGGCCATTTCTAATCACTGCTCTTTTGTGGAACATTTGATTTTGATTTCTACCATATGGGGGGTAAAAATCATGAAATGTTTTATCACTTATAATGAACTTTATTTACTTAATTATTACTTTAATTTCTGCTTTTAACTAGGTAAATTTCATGAGATTCCCCAAGAGGGGATGCATGGCAGGCTGCCTCAAAGAAGCCTACGCCCCTTTTGCAGATTAGCAGGTCTGAAGAGATAGGACTTGTACTTAACTTAGAGGAACTGGGTCACTGGACAGTAAAGCACTGGCTTTAGCCAGATTACAAAACAAGAACTTGACAAAAATAGATATTTGCCATGGGATTTTAATCTATTTCCTATATCAGAAATTTCCACCTCAGGACCTCCCTAGTGGCACAAGGAGTTAAGCACAACACTGTGAAGCTATCCGCAATCTCTGCAGCATGAGTTCGATCCCCAGCCAGCCAGAGAGCTACCCACATGGTGCAGCAGACCTCTCCGGTCTCGCCCGTTGCTCCCCTCAGCAGTGTATTTCAATCAGTCTGTCTGTTCTGTTCTCCACTCTGTCTCTGGTGAATCCTCTCACCCCCTGCATCTCTGGCCTGTACCCCAGTTTTTGTATGCATAAATAAATAAATCCTTAAAAAAAAGAAATTCCCACCCCAACTTTTTTATTGGGAGTGCAGGGCTTTGTTGGCAGTGTTTGGGGACACCCCACCAATGGGGGTCACAAATAGGAAGTTAGATGTTACTTTCATGCTAGGACAGCAGCAGTAGCTCTCAATCCCTAATCACAGCAGGACCAGAGATAAAGGTTCAGGCCATGGGCCTCCCCGGTGGCACAGCGGTTGAGCGCTGGGTTGGGAAGCTGCTGGCAGCCTCTGCAGTGCCGGTTAATCCCCAGCCGCTGGAGGAGGGTCCCACAGGGCGCGCAGATCTCTCCTGACGCGCCTGCTGCTCCCCTCAGCAGTGTACTTCGTCAGTCTGCCTGTTCTGCTCTTGGCTCTGGCTCTGGTGAATTCTCTCACTCTCCCGCGCTTCTGACTATACCCAGTGCTTGTATAAATAAATAAATCTTGAAAAAAGAATAGGGTCAGGCCAATGGACCCCCACACAGTGAGCCCTGGAAATGTCTAGAAATATCTGGTTCTGTACTGCCCAAAGGAGTGTCACTCAGAGGGCTCCTGTGGTCAGGAGATGCCTCCTTGGGACTCAAAGAGAGTTCCTCCTTTTCCTCTGAAGATAGTCTTAGGATGGGCTAGTGTGTCTTTATACTGTGCTTCTTTTTCTTGGTCTTCATTATTTTTTTTTAAGATTTATTTATTTATGCATATAAGAACTGGGATAAAGGCCAGAGGTGCAGGGGTGGGCGGTGAGAGGATTCACCACCAGAGACAGAGCAGGGAACAGAACAGGCATACTGACTGAAATATACTGCTGAAGGGAGCAGTGGGCAAGACAGGAGGGTCTGATGCACCATGTGGGTAGCTCCCTGCAGGCCGGGAATCGAACTCATGCTGCAGAGGCTGCAGAAAGCTTCACAGTGCTGTGCTTAACCCCTTGCGCCACCAGGGAGGCCCTTGGTCTTCATTATTAATAAAAGCAGCGGCATCAGAAGGCAAGGGTGTCAGGTTAGATGAGATAACAGATTTGGGGTTGTATCTCTCTGTAGGACAAAGCAGTGCTGATTTTCCACTATGGGTATTCATCTTTTAAAGTAAATAAAATGAGTAACTTTAAAGACTACTAAGTCAATAATAGCACAAGTGACTCGTATATGTGACAAATAGCTGGAGCTTCAAGGTAATAGGAAATGACAAAAATCTGAAGATGATAAGAAATGACTGGAGTCAGCATGCCTGAAGGAAAACCAATCTCTGTTGCTAACAGAGTGTGCCCTGTTTCATTCCTGAGAATGAAACAATAGTTATAAATTTACTGGCTACAGTAGGGGTTCTATGATTGAGAACTTATATTGTTGTTATTAGTAGTAGTAGTAATATTACAAATCAAATAGGGTGACCACCCAACTGGAAGCAGCCAGAGAGTTATGTTTCCAGGGCAATAGATTAATTACAGAGTGACCATCATATGCTGAAACTAACTTCATACACACTTCTGACACTGAGGAGGGTAGTTTTTGCCATCTGCCACTCAGTTTTCCCAACAGCTCTAGTGCTGAGTTGGTTCAGACTCTCAAGGGTTCTTGAACAGTTTTTCCCCGAACACCTGTTTTCTCCTTTTGGTGCAGCGTCTGGGACTTGGCAGTAATGACAAGATGAATTTTTTTATATTTACTTGTTGCCATTATTTATTTGAAAATTCTCGAACAATCCCTAACTAAAAAAAAGTGGGGGCACTTTTTTTAAAGAGGGAAAATGCTTGACTTGTGTTGAAAACAGATTGTGTTCTGTTCTAAAACCGCCCAACTCAGAGCAACTTCGCAAAGGTGTCCCTCGGTTGGGGGTTGGGTGGAGGGAGTGACAGTAGTACCAGTGGCCAGGAGGGGATGACCCTGAGGGCTGAGGACTCTGGGGGCCCGAAGGGCCAAGGCACCCAGTTCTGCCAGGCCTTTGTTCCCGGAGTCTCCTGGGTGAGAGTTGGGTTGGGTGAGAGTACCCCAATCTCCGTTTCCCTTCTAAGCTAGAGGCTTTCCTACCCTCAGCCGAGAGCTCTCGTTGTAATATCTCCGACTAGGCCGAGAGAGGGTGATCTGACCCCATTTTGCAGTTGAAAAAAATTGAGTTCTAAGTAGTGATTAAGAAAGGTGTTTAAGGACATCCGCCGGGTCTCTCGGGCAGAAAACCCTCGCTGGGGATCCCCCCCTAGGCGACACCCCTCTCCCAGCGCGATCCACGACCCCCAGTGGCTCCGACTAGTCTCTGCAGCGAGGGAGGAGATTCCAAGCGTTGACCTCCTGGAATGGCCTCGGTCACTCTATCCAGATCCTTGCAGGCGCGGCGGATCTCCATCGGCGTCCCGGACTCGGCCGGGGGTCAGCCCCATCCCGCGCCAAGGTGTTCCCGGCCGCTCCGCCCAGGGCGCAGCGCGGGGTCTGGGCGCAGTGACCGCCGCGGCCGCGCTCCCGCGAGGGAAGCCGAGGGGTCGCGACTCGCCCCGCGCGCTCTGCATGTCCTCCCACGGGTCCGGAGAGGGTCCGGAGCCCGAGCCGGGCCTCGCTGCACCGCGGAGCCTCCCGGTCCGTCCCAGGGCGTCGAAACAGCAACGACGGCCGCATTACAGCCCGGAGGCGCCTCGCTAGGGACCCGCTGCGCGCGGGGCGCCCCGGCTATCAGCTCCGGGAGCCTCGGGCTTGGGGCGCCGGCTGCGCTCAGCCAATCCGGGGCCGGGGCGGGGTCGGGGGCGGGCCGGGCCGGATCTCCAGGGCGGCGGGGCGGGCCTGGCTCCCTCTAGGGCCCGGGCAGCTGCTCCGCCACACTCTGCTCTCCGCTCCCGCGCCGCCAGCATGACGGACGCGCTGCTGCCCGCGGCCCCCCAGCCGCTGGAAGAGAAGGGCGACGGCTACTTTCGGAAGGTAGGTGCCTTCGGGCAGGCGGGCAGCCTGCGGGTTGCAGACCGACACCCCTCCTAGGCGGTGCAGGGGGCGCGGAGCGCGGGCCCGGGGCGGCCAGGCCGGGAGGGGAGGGGAGGGGGGGTGCACTGGCCTGGGGCGGGAGGGACGGAGGCCGGGGTGAGGGGCGCCGGGCCCTCGGCTGCTGGGAGCAGGTGACTTCCGCGGCTCGCGGAGAGGGGCGCTCCTGGGGCCGCTCCTGGGGCCGCTCCACAGGTGCCCCCGAAGAATGGGGGCCAGAGGGGTGCTCGGGGTCGCCCCACCGGTGGTCCTGAGCGTCTGGGCAAGGAACCGGTTTCTAGTTGATCGGGTGCCCTCGGCCGCGCGGCGCCCTGGAACTCGAGACCTGCTTCCCCCAGGGCTTGCCCCGGGGGCGCGGGTAAATAAAGGACCACCCCAGGCGGGCTGGCGGCTCCTTTTGCCTCCAGAATGCCCGCAGTGACCGCTTCTAAGGAGCGGGGCGAGGGGCTGGTTGGCGGTGACCTCGGGCGTCGCCCTTTCCGCCACCACCTGCAGCTCAGGCGCGCGCGGGCGCCCAGCGGTGCCGGCCGCGGACTCGCGCCTTCTCTCGTTGCGCTAAAGCGCATTTACCTGGTTGTTGGAGAAGAGGCGGAGAGTCAGGGCTTGCGGGGGGGTTCCGGGGTCCTGGAGACCCCAGGCACACCCCGCGGCTGTCTGTCTGCCCTGGAGAGCAGCCCCAGCTCCCCGGGCTGCCCATGGGCAGCAACGCCTGGGCTGCAAGGTCCAAAGAGGATTTGGATCCTGCAGTCCTGGGGACACCTTCCACCCTTCCTTCTCGTAGGGCTTTTGCGCGTCTAAAAATAGCTCTTGGAGGTGGGCCAGGTTTGACCGAGTGGGTTGAGAGATGTTGTTTTATAACATGTATGACCCAGGGCAGAATACCTAATTATAAACAGGGAAGTGAAACTGTTTGCCACAGAACAATCAATTCTTAATTGTTCAAAGCCCAGGGATCCTGTGGGTAAATGCTTTTGGCACTTTTCTCTGTCTCCCGTGTGACACAGCCTTTGGGCTTTTGCTCCTAATGAGAAGCAGTGGTCTCTGGGGCTGGGCAGGACTAGGGGGGATAAGGAGGTGGGAGGCGGAATCAGGTGAGGGCAGAGTGGTTATAGTCTGGTTAAATTGCTTTTAGCACTAAAAAAAAAAAGAGAGAGAGAGTAGTTTTAAGGTATATTTAAGTTTAAAGATGTCATCATGGAATTACAGGATTGTAACTTCTAATTATGTGTGGCATTTGGGACAGAGGATCACAGGCCATGGAATTCCAGAAGGACAGGCCTGGGAATCCCTAGATTTTGGTCGTGGGCCTCCAGAACCTGACTGCCACCCCCACAAAATTGCTGTGCAACCTCCAGCAAGTCCGTGCGCTTTGGGGGACTTCATTTCCTCCCTGAATGTCATGTGAATAGGTGGTGGTCTGGACTTAGCAGCACCTGGGGGCAGGTGCAGGGGGTGGGCAGAAGAGATGGAGAACACTGTGAAGATAATGTCTGCAGTTCCCAGACAGGTTTCCCAGGGAGGATATGCACAGGAAAGAGTGGACGGCAAGGGGAAGTAAAGGGTGCAAGGCATTTTTAGAGGCTGTTTCTCTGGTGGTAGACAAGAGAATCATGGCTAAGAAATAAGATGAATCATTGGTTTACAATTTGAAACATCTTTCGAAAATGAGACCTTGTAGTCATCATTATGCCACGTCATACTGACCAAAGAATGATCTTTGTACCAGGACAAGCAGGTGCTAATGATGCTCTTTTCCCCATCAGCCATCCAAGCCAGCTTGACCTCAAACAAATGTGCCCAGGTGAGGAGGGAGGAAGAACCCTTCAGATAGAGGGAACTGATGGAATTATGAGTTCTTGTTAGGGGACCCTCTGAGGTGTGGGGGTGTAAGTGGAAACTAGGTCACGTGTCCTGCTAAGGAACCAGGGAACCTCGTCAGCCACTGAAGTGTTGAAAGCAGGACCAGACAAGGGAGAGTCATGTCACAGAGACCATGTTGACTGCTGAGTGGTCACAGGGTGGGGGGTGGGGAGAGGCAGCGGTGGAGCCAGCAGGGAGGAGTTGGGATTTAGTTCCCTGTAATCTCCATTGTCTCTGCTCTTCTTACTTTGATAAGGACTGCTGATGACTTTTCTTTCAGTTCTGTAAAGTGATGTGTAAACATAGCCTCACCAGCCACTCTCCCTACCAGCTTGGTCGTCTCTCTTAAATTAGGGGTCCACGTTGGAGACAGGCACCCCTGGGCAAAGGTGGTATCAGTAGGGATGGAAAGAACTAACAGGATGGGGGCCTCCCTTGTGTCACAAGGGATAAAGTCTGCACTATGAAGCTATCCGTAGCCTCTGCAACACAAGTTCTATCCGCGGCCGGGGAGATAAACCACACGGCACAGCAGACTTCTCCTGTCTTGCCTGCTGCTCCCCTCAGCAGTGTATTTCAGTTAATCTGCCTGTTCTGTTTCCCACTCTCTCTGGTGAATCTTCTTACCCCCAGTACCTTTGGCCTGTACCCCAGTTTTTATATGCATAAATAAAATAAAAATCTTAAAAAAAAAAAGAACTAACAGGACAGGATATGGTAGGAATTTAAGGTTCTGCTGATGGGACTGAAAATGCCTGTTGTGGGTGTCTAGATGGATGGTCATGCACTTCAGTAAGATGGAGAACCAGGAGGTCTCCAGGGGGTACCCCAGTGGTGATCCCAGTGAGGAGTCCCCCAGTCCAGCAGCCATGAGAGCATCCAGGATGGAGATGTGGCTTTGTTGAGGGTGGTGGTTGGATATTAGGTGAAAAAGGATCCAGGACAGAAGGGAATGACATCTCTACTTAAGGATCAGGTAGAGAATTGGGAGGCAAGACAGGAGAATGGTGTGTTGATGAGGCTGTGAGAAGAGAATCATTTTAGTGGAGAGATGAAGTTGACGACTCAGAAGGGCTTTAGAGGGTTGTTAATAGTAAGGGATTAGAGAGTTGGTGGTAAAGTCAATTGGGTTATGGTGGGAGAAGGGAGAGGAGCAAGAAGACTGGTTTGTTTTAGGAGGGGCTGGAGAGTTGAAGATTCATGGGAAAGAGAGAACAAGCTGTGGAGGGTCCCAGAAGGCAAGGGGGAGACAAGGATAGGAAATAACTGCTGCATAAATTGGGTGGACAAGCCAACCAGGGGCAATAAGTAAGGAACTCCCTGCCCCCCCAACTGAAGAAAAGGGCACCCCACGGCAGATTTCCCATCTTGTCTTTGGACTTTTCAGACTTTTGCACACACTTACAGAACCAAATTAATGTCTTCTGAAGTCAAACTTCTTTCATCCTGTTCTCTTTATCATGTCTCCCCTCCTACCCTACCCCCTTTCTTAAAAATGTCATTCTGCTCCATTCATTCAGAAAGCATTTATTGAGTGACAGCTCTGAGCCTGACCCCGTCAGGTTCTGGGGCACACTCAAGACCCTGATTCAATATGGCTTCTGTGACATTTCACAGTGGGCCTCCTTAGCTGGGGTGCCCAGCAGTGCTGGGAGTTAGTGTTTTGTCCCGATGACACAGCCATTCCTCAATAGGAATTGGCTTCTTTGCTTTAGTCAGAGATGAAAAAGTGGGGGAGTCCATGGTCCATATTCAGAGCTTCAGCTCTGTTTTGTGTGACTTGCACAAAATATGAAAACTAATTACCCAAAAGTCCCCTCTATCAGCTGGGCCTGGACTCTGAATGCAGGGACAATCATTGGCAGGAGGGGAAGTCCCCTGTAAATCAGGGTCTTCTTGGGGGTCATGTAGGACTTGGCTTTACATGGGGACATGGGGGCTTTACATGGGGGCTTTACTGGGGACATGGACATACTTTGCCCCAGTTCAGGCATGGATACCCCAGTATAGACCCTGGTCTCCTGGACTGGCAACTTGCAGGGAGGGGTCTCTGAATTCAAAGCAAACCATTACTTTCTTTGTTGCAATACCACATTTCTCTCTTCAGCTTCTGTTGACTCTTAGCTATAAAAGTTATAGATTATTTAAAAGAATGTCCAGTAGAAATGGGTCTTCATTTTCTCAGAGTTTTCTGTTCATCCTAGTGAAAGTCTTGAAGGAATCTGAGTTCTGGCCTGTGGCTCAATGCAGAGTATTCAAAGCTTCCCAAACTCTGCATCCTGAGAACAGCTCGGGTCCCAGTCCCGGGGCTCCTAAGACCCTCAGGAAAACCTGTTCCTGGATACAAGAAACACCAGCTAGAGGAAAACAAGAGGACGATTTCTGCAACTCTGTTAAGGCCCTAATGAAAGTCTTAGCACTGGGAAGAAGAGGAGAGGACAAAGTCCAGCATTGTCAGCCCTTATCTGTCTGTGCCTCTGCATCCCTTGGGAACACTAATGACCCAAAATGAATTTAGATCGCATTGTTTTTACTCAGGAGCTGGAGAAGTTGTTTCTTATTCACCGAAACCTCCAGGCCGGATGGGGCCCCAAGGTTCACTGTGACCTGTTTACAGTCCCTGTTTTCTCTGGGACTTCCTTGAGGCTGCAGGAGAGAAGGAAAGAGAATTCTTTTCTCTCTCTCTCTCTCTCTCTCTCTCTCTCTCTTTAATACTCAGAGGCTCCTCCTAGCTCCTTCCCTGCACTATTCATCTTAGTGGGTGTGATTTCATGTTAGACACGTACGTGCATGGTTTACGAGCACACTGTAGTGGGGAGGCCCTGGGATGAGTCTGTGGGGCCAGCGTGGGTCATGGGCTCATCAGCTCCGACTTTACTGGGCAGTGATGACTTCCTTTCCAGCTGTTTGGACCTGTCCCCTTGGAGCTTTCAATCCTTTCCTCAGTGGGAAGGGAGGAACGTAGAGGGGTGTGAAGGTTAGTGCTGTTGCCCCCTCCCTGGCCCATGCCCCACCATGGTCTGAGCCAGGTCCTGGAGGCCAGGCCAAATGCAGGCTGACCTGCCCTGGTGCACACCAGCAGC